GTGTGTGTGTGTGTGTGTGTGTGGTGTGTGTGTGTGTGTGTGTGTGTGTGTGTGTGTAAGTATATGAATAAATATATAGATATACATATTTATACACACGCCCACAGAGAGAGAGAGAGCGAGAGCATGTGTTTGCGTTTTTTTTTCTTTTCTTTTTTTTTGTATGTGTGTAGGCATTCGTGTGTGTATAAACCTGTGTGCGCATATGTACATAAAAGTAAACAAACTTGACGACGATCAATAATAAACTTCAGTTCTCGTGTACTTAGCAGTCTGTTTCGCTCGTTAAGAATTTATAGTCCAAAAATAGGTTGCGTTGGATTTAACTTTGTCTCATTAAAGGAGAAAAAAGCATATTGTAGTTTATCACGTTTAATGGTATAAGTGACAGTGTGCCGGCCTATTTACAAACTTTTAAAATAGCTATTGACATGCAGTAAGATCATAATTTAAAAAACGAAAAAACTAACAGGCATCACATCATTTAAAGGGAATTGCTTTAATGCACGTCCTTGTCGGGTTTGTTCCAAAATTAGATTTGTTTTGTGCAGATGGAAAGATTTCGTCGCAAAAATTAATTATATTGCGGCGAAAAGTCTCATGAGCGCTGGCAGGTTTCTTGCGTTGCTGTTTACAATGTTTTTTTTCTCTCTCTCTCTCCTTGATTTTATAGATATTTGACTTTTTATGTATCACGTTTCACGTGGATACTTTGTCTTTCTGTCTGTCTGTTTTTCTTCCTCCCTCCCGCCCTTCCTTCCACCTTTCCTTCCTCCCTCCCTCCTTCCTTCCTTCCTTCCCTCTCCGTCTCCGTCTCTTACTCTCCTTCCTTCTCCCCTTCCCTCTCCTTCTCCTCTTCTCCTTCCTTTTCTCTCCTTCCCCGTCTTTCCCTCCCTCCCTCTTCTTCTCCCTCTTCCACCCCTTCTTCCCTCTTCTCCCTCCCTTTTCCCCCGTCCCTCCCTCCTCTCTCCCTCTCTCTCCTTCTTCCCCTCCCCTTCTCTCCTCCCCCCCTCCCTCTCTCTCTCTCCTTCTCCCCTTTCTCTCCCCCCTCCCCTCCCCCCTCCTCTCTCCTTCTTCCCTTCCTCTCCTCTCCTCTCTCTGCCTTCCAATGTCAGCCGTGTTCAGCTGTCAGTCAGAGGTCGCGGGTCCCGTTGCAGAGGAGGGTCAGCCGGAGCATCAAGGGGAGAGAGTCAGCTGTGGGAAAAATTGCGATCCGTGCACTTTCGCAAATGAAATGGGAAGGGGGGGCGTTGGTGTCAGTCTTGATGCTGTTTCTTTTTTTTAATGTTTATTCGCGTTATGTCATTGCTGTTGTCATGGTTGTTGCTCTTTTGCTCCTCGTTGTCATTGCTCTTATTATTAGTATCGCTGTTGTTATTTTCATTATCTTTATTATTATTGCTATTATTTTTGGTTGTTATTGTTACTGTTGTTATTACCATTATCATTATAATTACCACCATCATCATCATTATCATTATCATTACTCTGCCTCCCCAGACTTCGACCTGGACAACAAGGCGGACGACATCGGCTTCATGATCAAAAGGATCAAGATCCACACGCCGGAGGCTCTGAAGGACCCGACCTACCGCTTCCCGGGCAACTACGGCGTCGAGAAGTTCCTGGAGCTCTTCTCGGAGGAGGACTACGACGCCTTCTGCCTCGCCTACATGTTTACGTACAGGTGAGACTCGGGAGGAGGAGGCGAGGGGAGAGGGAAGGGAAGGGGATGGGGAAGGGGAAGGGAGGGGGGAGGAGGAGTTGGAATGGGAAGGGGATGGGAGAGGGGCAAGGGATGGGGAGGAGGAGGAGGAGAAGAAGAAGGAGAAGGAGAAGAAAGAGCATCATTAGTAGGGGTAGGGTTGAGGGAGGGGAGCAGAGGAGGGAGGGTTCAAGGAGGAAGAGCATATACATATTTCAAGGCTCTGTATATCATCACTTCTGTTTGTTATCATTAACTTGTTTTCCGTGACGTTTATTAATGTCATGTTTTTTTGTTTTTTTTTAATAACGGCTTATTTTAGGTTGACTTTAGGTTAAGACATAATAAACCAAATAATAAATAAATAATAAGAAAATTGACAAATTATAATAACAATAATAATAATAGTGATAATAAATATAATACTTAGACAATAATGGCAATGCTAAGACAATTTTAACCGGAAAATATTCCCTCAATCGCGGCAGGGACTTCGAAGGCGGAACCCTGGGCTTGGCGTGGACCGGCGACCTGAAGAACGCCGGAGGAGTGTGCGAGAAGAACGGCCACTACCGAGGAAGTCTCAAGGTAACACGTTCCCTTGTCGAAGAAGTGTGTGTTGATGAGTATGTTCGTGCGAGAGAGAGAGGGAGAGAAGGGGGGCAGAGAATGAAAGAGAGGGTAAGAGAGAAAGAGTTACGAGTGGAGGTGGGTTTAGCGTTGTTGTCTTTTGGATGAACTAGTGAGACTTGCCAGATGCACTTTTGTATAAAAATGGGTTTGATAGACTAAGTACTCTGGGAAAGGGAAGGCAAGACAAAAGTCCTAACATCCACTGGCTTGCAGAGCCTCAACACGGGCATCGTGACGCTCCTGAACTACGGCAAGCACGTGCCTCCGGCGGTGAGCCACGTGACTCTGGCGCACGAGATCGGCCACAACTTCGGCAGTCCGCACGACCCCGAGTCCAACAAGCGATGCACCCCTGGCGGCGAGGACGGGAACTACATCATGTTCGCCAGGTAAGGCACCGCGGGGAGAGGGAGAAGGAGATAGAGGCAAGGGGACGGGATGTCGTCATGGGACGGACTGGCTGCGAGGAGGAGGAAAAGTTCTTTAGTAGAAATATATGAGATGTGTGGATTTGTTTATGTCACGCTGCTGCAGTAACGATGTGAATGGTCGCTTATTCCCCTTCTCTTTTTTCAGAGCGACTTCAGGAGACAAAAGAAACAACAATAAGTTCTCGCCGTGCTCGCTGCAGCAGATCAACAGCGTCCTCAACTCGAAGGCGCGCGACGTCAAGGGCTGCTTCACAGCGCCTCAAGCGGCCATCTGCGGCAACGGGGTGGTGGAGAAGGGGGAGGAGTGCGACTGCGGCTGGGAGGAGGACTGCGAGGAGGCGTGCTGCTTCCCGATGAAGTCCAGTCCGGGGAAGGGGGAGACGCCGTGCACTCTCAGGCCCAACAAGATCTGCTCGCCCTCGCAGGTGGTTGTCGTAGTGTTTACCGTAATAGTTTTATTATTTAACTATTGTAATATCACAAGCCTGCAGGTAGTAAAGGGCATTAGCTTAGTAAATAAATTGCCAGGATTTTTCCTACCAAGTCGGATCCCGGCACGAAACGAAAGCGCTCATTGAACGTAAGAATACCCCATGTAAATATGCATGTCTTGACCCCGCGTGCTTCTCCTCAGGGTCCGTGCTGCACGCAGAACTGCCACCTGAAGAAGGGCGACAAGTGCCGAGACGACAACGGTTGCCGCGACTCGTCCTACTGCAACGGCCGTGTCCCGCAGTGCCCGCCCTCCACCAACAAGCCTAATAAGGTAGTCTCGGAGGGATATGTGAATGCCTTTCATTTTTATTGTTAGATGTATCAGCCTGTTACTCCAAGGGATCATTCCAACAATTTGTTTTTACGTACACCACCACATATAAATAGAGTAAAGTGACGGTCCACACCCCTTTTTCCACAGACGATCTGCAACGAAGAGTTCGTGTGCTACAAGGGGGAATGCACGGGTTCCATCTGCCTGGCTTACGGGCTGGAGTCCTGCCAGTGCAAGAGGAATCACGGAGATCTAATCACCAAGTCTTGCGAGCTCTGTTGCAAGCTTCCCGGGGAGAACCAACAATGCCTGTGAGTGACTGCTTTTCTTGTCGCTGTAGATTTTAAAAATCTCTTTGAAGGCTGTCTGTCTCTCATTGTGTTACTCTTTTTGATGGAATTTTGTTGACTTGTTTCGAAGTGTTTATGTTTCATTTATTTTATTTTGCCACTTAAGCTTTTTCTGTGGACATGCTACTTCATACATTAATTTTACATTTAGTAGTCTCAGCATTAGTTATAGTTGTAGCAGCAGCAGTATTTGCTGCAGTAGTAGCAGCATCAGTATTAGTAAAAGTAGTGTACTGATTCTTGTCGCAGCAGTGGAAATAATAGTAATAGTATTAGCTGTCCCAATAGAGATAATAATGTCACCATTATGAGTATTCATTGCTGGCCCTCATATACCTCTCCTACTTTCTGATTTGTTGTGATTCTTGCCAGGTCTTCCTTCGAGTGGAATGTGCCTCCGTACGACATCCCCGACATGTACGCTAAGGCGGGCACTCCTTGCAACGACTACAAGGGCTACTGCGACGTCTTCAAGAAATGTCGAGAGGTGCGTTCGTCTGTGTGTGCGTGTGTCATTTTCTTGTTTTGAGGATGACACTTGCTCGCTTTTCGTGTTTTTGTTTTAATGATAATCCGATTTGAATCAGGATTGATTAGTTCTTTTTGGAAGTGAGATTGAGGTATATAGTACGGTTTAAAAAGTCGCCGTACTGTGAATTTTCCATAATTTAAAAACTGATGTAAAGGTATAGATTAGTCGAAAATAACATAAAGAAGACACGTATAACAAAACAAAATCCCTTCCTTCTCCCAGGTGGATCCCTCAGGGCCCTTGGCAACGCTTCGGAAGCTCTTGCTAAGCGACGAGTCCTTAGCGAACCTCCAGCGGTGGATTGTCAAACACTGGTATGCCGTCCTCTTCGTCGTGCTGGCCGTCCTGGTGCTATTGGTGAGTACAGTGAGGGAGAGTTTTGTGGGCATGGGTGGGCGTGTAGGTTTTGGGTGTGTGTGGGTAAGTGTGTTAGGTTGGTTTGGGTGTGCGGGAGTGGATGGTTGTAATGCGCGGGTGTGTGTCTTCGGTAATGTAAGTTTGTATGTATGGTAGTATGTTTTATCGGCTTTGAAATCACTCTTAAGAAATACAACTAACTGGAGTAGAAAATAACACCCCC